ATAAATTTATCGAAACGTCGTAAGATGTCCAAAACTAAATAAAAATTTTCTTTTTCTTTTCTTTATTTTATTTATAAACGCTGCTGTTAAAGATTTTCTCATATAATTCAATTCTCACCCATGAATCAATACGAAAATTACTCATCACTTTTCAGATATTGCTGACGAACCATATATTATGTTGCCACCTATCGAACGATTTCGGACGAAGCCTTTATTTTCACTTGAAGAAGCCGTGGAACCACTTATACCATTTGTCTCTGAGATAGAGAAAAAAGTATTTATGGCTAAAGAATACTCTAAAAATCCTTCAGATGGTCCTACATCTGATCAATCAGATTCCATTGCACTCTACACTATGGAATGTGATTCGTACACGCATTCACTCTATTATATTCTTAATTCGACATTGCGTACCGAGGATTGAAAACAACTCGAACCGTGGTTACTCTATCTTAAACTCATCCTTAATGCCTTATATCGTCTTCAACCGATTCGTCTGACTGTCTATCACAGTCTTAAATTCGACGCCAAGATAGAACGTGAAAGATATCAAGAAGGAAAACATGTTGTCTAATGGAGATTTTCTTCGTGCGCAGTGAACAAGAATATTTCACAAAAAGCACATTTTCTTAGTACAACGGGCACAAGAAGCCTATTCGTCATCGAGTGTTTACACAGAAAGCACATTGGATAACATTCGTATCATGAGAATGACCAAGAAGTATTACTCTTACCTGGTACTCGGTTTGAAGTTGTCCGATGTGATCGTCGACACGATGATGTTCACAAAATTTATATGAAGGAAGTTGAGCCGCAATTTATCCTTCCAGAACCGCTCTTTATGATTCCAGTGAATCAAACATTACAAAACTCTTCAACTTCAGCGGATGCTCAATCGACAGGCAATTTTCTGTTCTACAATATGTGTACGTGCCAGTTTCTTCCCGACACTTGACAGCTGCGAGAACGTGTTTTTTGAGAAATTTTTTTTTGATTCTGCTATAATTATTTAATTAGCTTAAGAGACACTCCATGAAAAAATCGAGGATAGTATCTGACTTTACAGGAAATTAGAAGTAATAAGCAATGGTCACTTATGATAAAAGAAGTAAAGCTATAGCAAAGATCGTTTAGATCAATCTAATAATATAAAATTAATTATGATACTTTCTTTTAACTGTATTCTGCAATAGAAATATGACGCTTTCAGATTGGTATCATTTCGACAACATAAAAAGGCTATTTATCTTGAATCACTGGAAATCAATAGATCATTAGGCAATCAACATTACTTGTGACAAACAATTTATGAGTTTTTCGTGTACCAGTGTTTTAATAAATTTACTGAGGTATAGAAAAAGAAGTTCTCAGAAATAAATTTTGCGCTCGATATAAATGTCTGAGAATTGTTTTCTTATATATTATTTTCTCTCGTGTCTTTTTCTAATCGCGTGATAAAAATAATTTAAAAGGCTTTGCGTTAGTAATAGTTTTTTTTTTCTTTCTTTCTTGTTTTTCTTGACAATTATAAAAATAAATTCAAAGCAAGAAAATATCTAATTGTATTATTTATCATATCACACTATCATGACTATAACGATCGCCACTGTCACATTAGTGCTATTGCTGTGAATACTTTTTTCTCTTTCCAAACGACAAATGGAGATATCAAATTCGATAAAAATATTCATTGTGTTTAGTGCTTATTTGTTATTCATGCACTTTTGTCGGTTACTATTTGATCACCCTTTGCCTTTTTCAATTAGAATAAAAATGATAAAAATGGTTACAGAAGAAGAATAGACAAAAAACGACAAGAAGAGATCAAAGAGAAAGATGCATATAAAATTTTTCTATAACGAAGAGAAAAAAACGCCTTCAACACATATACTATACGTGTTTAGAACGGAAAAAAAACAAGACCTTTTACTTCTCTCATTTGTCATTATGTGTGTGAGAGATAGAAGCCATAAAGTATAATTTTGTAAGAGATTATTTGTTACTTTTCATATTTTATCATTACTAAGAAGAAGAAAAAAGAAAAGAAAAAGAAATAACTCCGATTCAGCATACGTGATGTTTATTTACAGTCCATACAACAGCACGAAAACAAGTCCTTCACTATTTTCATCTATTCTCATCTATTCTATTTGTACGATCTCTTTCCTGGTTATTCTATCTATTTCTATCGCTATCTTTCATCTAACGCTAACTATCAAACAACTGAAAACATTCTCAAATTTACTCATTTGCAATACATGTCTGATCAGTTTATTTTACTCATGTACAACATTTCTTCAAATCTTTATGGTCACCTTTGCTCCACTTTACTTGCCTGGGAAAGATACGCGGCTGTTCTGTATTGTTCGTGCCTATCTTACCGTTGCTTCTACAACTCTCCTTAGCTTGTCATTTCTTCTTCAAGCCATTAATCGACTGTTCTACTCAGTATTTCATACACATCGTCGACATCTGCTAACGTGGAAATTTCATTATTTCTTGATAGCCGTTCAATGGATTGTAGGATTTTTAATGCCGATTACAATCCTGATAAAACATGGAGATGTTGTGCATCGGCCAAATATATTCTGTACAATTTCATTGAACCACACACTGCATCTCTACTATCTCTATTCAATAGCGTATCTGATGCCAGCATTATCCATCCTTCTAATCTACATAACAATTATCTATCGAGTGAACTACTATTCTGCTTCGTATAAACAGCGTCATTCCAATCCCGCTCGTGAAGCTAAATTAATCAACAATATTCTCATTTTCGTTGCTATCTTTATTTTCGGTGGGCTGCCTTCGATCGTTTACATATGTGTGATGTCACCACGGCGAATTCTATCGATTCATTTCTTTATACTGACATTAGTAACGACACCCTTAGCTGTAGCAATGGAAAAGGTGTCTGTACTTTGGTTACACATACCGTTTAGAAATGCATTTATTAGATGTTGCTGTTGTGTAGAGCAAAGGAGAGTTAGGAAAAGTACGAAGATGAGTACTAGAAGTAAAATGTTGATTGGTAGGAAAAAAATACCGGTGAATCATTCAATAAAAGATATAAAGTGAGTTCAAACTCTCGGAACTCACACCATCACTCTCACCATCTGAACACAAAATCGGAGGAATGTGTTGTTACTGAAGGAATTAAATAGTAAAAGAAATTCCATCCATATATAAATAGTTTTAGATTGTTGACAGATTTGATTTGTATATGTATAAGTGATACGAATGTGTAATAGATTGTAACGTGTTCATTTTGTTTACATGTGTTCTATATGAAAATAGAATTTTATTAGATATAGATTGTAGAAAAAAGGATATATTTACAACTCATCATGGCTTGAGGGTGTGGGTATGTGTGGGTGTGGGTATGGGTATTAATTGACAGAAGATGGACATCCACACCCACACCCTCAATCAAAAATAATGAATGATGACTACATGTTATTCTAGCGATTTTTATTCGATTTTTAGAGAAAAACTCAGTACCTATCTACATACGGGTGTTGACTAGTATAATCTTAACTTGATTTTGGTAACGATTAATAAAAAACAATGGCATTAACGACAAATCTTGACTCTCAAAAACCAATTGAAACTCATGTGGATAATGCCAATGATCAAGTATCATCAACCGAACAAGGAAAAAACATTACAGGCTTTCGAACATATAAAAATGTGTTCGTCGTCTCTATTGCTTTTCTTCTTCTGTTCACTGCATATGATTCTACAAGAAACCTTCAAAGCTCACTAAATATGGATGGCAATGTTGGAGTACATTCTCTATCGATTAGTCACGGATGCTTTATTCTATCATCTGTTTTTCTGCCACACTCATTGATAACTGTGTTTGGTCTAAAATGGACTCTAGTCTTATCTCAAATGTGGTGAGTAAAAGAAAACTTGAATTAAGTATAAGTATAAGTATTAGTTTATGTTTATAGTTATCTCTTGTATTTATCTGCTAATTATTATCCAAAAGCTTACTTGATATATCCAGGTGAAGATTCGATAATCTTTTTTTTTCCTATTATGCTTCATCAATTTAATTCTAGCTTCTGCACTTGTTGTTTTGACTTCTCCACCTCTATGGACGTCGGCATTAGGCTATCTGAGCGATTCAGCATCTACCTATGCTCAAACAATAAATGTCAACAAGGATATGATGATGAGCCGATTCATGGGCATCTTCTACATGTTTTATCAATCAGGTGTCTTATTAATTTTCACCTTATCATCATGATTTTCATCGTTGATATTCCTTATAGGTCAAGTATGGGGCAACCTTATTACATATCTTGTACTCAAACCACATGAGGCAACTAACATAAACAGAACAATATCCAACACCACTAAAACATATGTCAAATGTGGCGCTGATTTTAGCGAGCAAGAATACCAAAGTATCAGTACAGATAATGGAATCAGTACTACAACGGTAAATAGGACAATAATCTTAATGAATGAGATTACCTTCTATAAACAAAACTTCTTTCTAGGTTAAAATTCTCTTTATTTGCTATATGTGTACATGTGTCTGCTCTATTTTGGCTGTGATAGTTTTCCTGAATCAACGGTGCACTGAAAGTCGAGGTCAGAAAAGTGCATCCTATTCAGTTTCGTGATTTTCATTCATTCATATCTAATAGATAAAATCTCAGTTATGGGTAGGGTGTGGGTGTGGATATTCTCTTAACCACGCTCACATCCCACCCTTACGTTAGATATACATGCTCTTAATAGTTTTATTTCTGTATCAAAATTTTTGTTCTCATGTGATACGACCTCTATTCTTGTCATATAGATGATGAGCATTTGTTGAGTAACATTGAAATAATCATCGATTACAGCATTGGCTCGTTTGAGCTCATTGTCTCAACAATAATTAAGTATGAGACTGAGTGAAAAGTTGTAGTTTATATTTCAAATCTAGTCAGGCGATGTCAATGAAAAATTATTACGAATATTGTCAATAACTTGTGTCATGTGCCCCTTCCTTCAAAATTTCCTGGATCCGCCACTGATTTATGGATAGAAAAAAGAAAATAAACAAAAAAATGAACTTCTTGTAGAATATAAAAGATTAATCTTGAATGTTGAAGTGGAACAAATGAAGATGGTTTATCATTAGGAATATATACAGCTGCTGTAACACGTCGAAATAAAGAACCTTTACGTGAATGACATTTTCCATCCGAAAATGAATAAAAATGAACTAAGGAAAAAAAATAAATAAGAATTTTAAATAATTTTTATTTTGTAAAAATAAAAACTTACGAAAACTTTTATCAAATAAAGCAATAAATGATGATCTTGGATCTTTAGCAAAAACATGAACATGCCATGAAAATGATTTAATAAATTGTCCATTTAAACAATTCCATAAATTGGCTAATGTTTTATGACAAACAAGAATTTTGTCACAATTATAAATAACATGTTCAACCGGATTTTTTCGATCAATATGAGCAAAACAACGTGAATATTCATAACGAGATTCTTCATTTAAATCATTTATTGTATCAATCTATACAGTTACTAAATGTTCAAATGAACAACATAAATTTATATTTTCTGATGTTGATAATTTATAATAACATAATGCGAAACTTGAATATGAACGATGTGTATGACCAGATAAACAACGCCAATGCGATACACGTTCTAAAATTTACAATCAAATTCATCAATTTTAATTATCAAATATTCATTTTTATGAAAAATAAGTATCATATTTGAGAACAGTATGCAAAAACAAAAACTTTCCTCAGTCTTTATTCTATAAACTTTGACTTGTTTCGTCAGCGGATACAGAAGCTTATTTTCTCTGCACATAAATCCCTAACAGTTACTTATAGACATCAAATAGATAATAAGAATTAAATACTTGTAATAGGATTTTCTTGAACAAAAGTTCAAACTTTAACAAAACCATCATTTCCCGTTATTGCTAATTCAAGTTTATTTGGATGAAATAACATTTGATTTAATGTTTCTTGTCCATGTGGATATGTTATACTTGTATTTAATTCAAATCTTAATATAAAAATAAATTAATTAAAAAGAAAAAAGAAGAAATAAAATTTTTCTTACTGATTATTCGTTTGATAAAAATTTCCAAAATCTAAGTTTTCTTTCATTTTGATGATCATCAGAATTTGTATTTGATGAACATTCTTCAAATGTAACTAACCATGTATCTATATTATAAAAACCATATTTTAATTTATTTTTTAATAAATATTAAAAATAAACCTGATGGATCAATAGCTAAACGTTTAATATCTGTAAAAATACATTGTTCAGCTATTTCATTTTGTGATACATAATTTTCTCCAATAATATCCAACTTAAAAAAAAACATTATTTATATTAAATATTTTTCTATTTTCTTTTACATTATAAAGTAATTTTCCATTATCACTTGACGTAAATTGAAGATAATCTGGTTTTCCCCTATTCATAACAAGAGCTTGTTGACAATTAAATGCATGAATACCTGTTAGAATAATTAATAATTATTTAATTCATGAATAGAAGACTCATATTTATTTTTTACCGGCTGGTAATGAAGCTTGTTGTGGAAGAAATATATGATTAATTCCTCCAATTGTTCGTTGAATTGATAAATTACTTCCAATTAAATGAAGAGCTAAATAATAGAATAATTTATAAAATAAAATCAATAAATCGAAAAAAAACAGTTCGTACTATTATCTGAATGAGTACATACATAAAATGTTTGATCATTTGATGAAGTAACATAAATTATTGGTGCACCAAGTCTTGGTCGAAATGTTGGTTCACTTTTTCTAAATAACCATTTAACAAGAACACATTCATGTCCGCCGGATAATAAATATGAACCATCAGTTGAAAATGATAAACATAAAACAGGTAATGAATGCCAATGTAAATATGATACTGTTGATTCTTTATTTGTTGAATTTAGAAAATTATACTTTTAAATAAAAATACCAAAGAGCAATTCGACCAGATTGTGTTCCTAAAGCAAGACATTCTTCATTTGGATGAATTTGTGAACATGTTATTTTATCATGATAAGATAAATTTTGTTTTGTTATTGCATGAGTTTTTAATTGATTTGTTTTTATATTTAATATATAAATAATTGTTCCATCCGCATTTATAAATATACCGAATTCATCCTTAATATAAATCAATTATTTTATTTATATGAAAATAATTATACTTAAATACTTTATTACCAAATGAAATATTTGTTGATAAACATGGAAGTTTTTCAAATAATATTATTGGAGAACAATTATGACGAATTGATTCAATTCGATTAAGTGAATATACTGAAATAATAATAAGAAATTTTAATTTGATTTTCTATTAAATAAATCTTTACCATTTTTGTTGTTTTTAGTAAAAATGTATAAACCATTATTTGACATTGAATACATTTGAATAAGTTCCATTTCAAGTTTTATTGTCTAAATACAGAAGATTTCAACTCTTAGAGATCAGGTTGCATTTTTTTATATGGTCAAAAACAGATTCAATTATAGTTACGCCCTTTTCTATTAAGATTCTCAATAAAAGTTAACCATGATCTTAGAAAAATCAATTCATAATTTACATAATAGCACTTGTAAAGTCGAACTTTCATGAATAAGAATTCCATCTTCATATTCTCAAACATTAATAATTCCATTTTGTTCTCCGACACATAACTAAATGTACGAATAAAAAAATGAACTTTTGTTCAAACTAATGAATAAAAATATTGGAAGTCTATTATTAGGATTAATTGCAATTGAAACAATTGTTTGTTGATCTGTTGAATTTGTATTATGATTTATTAATCTTAAACATTCTCCAGTTTTAACAATCCAAACATAAACGCATCCATCACCAATTGTAAATACATATCCTTTAAAAATCTTATTTAAGTTAAATGATTAATAACAAAAAACTTACTTTGAATCTGATGATATTAATGGAGGATATTTCATTAATGTTCCAATACGAAATTGACAAATGTTTAATTTTTTCATTTTTTTTAAATTAAATCTTAATCAATCTAAAATAAATGAAAATTCAAATGTAAACAAATAAGTATCAATAGACGTAAGAATATTCAATTCTTATGCATCATATGAATTTTATTTTTATAATAATATTAAATACATAATGATTCTTTATTTATATTCAACTGTCACTTTATAAAACCAAAAAAGAACATTCATTTATTCAAAAATATTATGATACCACAAATGACCTAAAATCCATAAAAAGATTAAAGGTTTTTATTTAACTTAATTTTAAATTATTAACATACTATGAATCCAAGTATCAAATATTGCAAATCGTCAGCTTTGCTATCACGTTCCATTCTTTGATTTAACTTCTCTAATTCATCTATTATTTTCAATAGTTGCTCATTTACTGATCGATGGGACGAGTGTCGAGCGACAGAACGTCTTTTATTTCTGTTGGTATTTGTATTAGAAAATATTTTACGTTGACTAGCTATGCATGACGAATTATTGTTAATTGCATTCATAGACGTTTGTTTATTTGTATCTTGTTGAGACATTTTCTTTGTTTAATATCAAACAATTCGAATTTAAAACCTTTTACCTAAAAAACAAACAAAATTTGCAAGTACAACATAAGAATTTTATTATCAAATAAATCACTCTATTGACGTTAATTTGAACTTCGTTTTTCTAACTGAATATTAACAATTTTTCTATCTTAGAAGAATTTTCATATATATAATGTTCAATGTGTCTGAGGCAGGTGAAAGGTCAATGGATAAAGGTCAGACAAACAAGATCGAATAAAGATACATGATCTATGAAATTATTGGCGACTGAAGCTGTAGAGCTACATATATATACAAATGTTCGAATGTTCTTATGTCTGTTACCAAGTCATAGGGTAAAAGTATGAGATCATACATTAATAAAAAGTACAGTATAATGATGGTGTGCGTTCGTTTTGCTTGAGTATAAAACTCGCAATGGATCTATTGGACAACAATTTTGCGACTTGATTGATACAATCGCTTCATTAACAAAGTATTTTTAGTTTTTAGCTTTCTTTAAACTACTTTCGAATAGATGTCAACTACTTCGTTCTAACAATAAGATTTGTTTAAAAGAATTTATTTTCAATGACGAGAAAGATCTTTAATAATAAAAGTTATAGATTCTGATTGACTGTTTCATTTTCTATAAAATTGTTTTCTTTAAATAAAATAAATAAAACTTACTTTGAATTTAATTATATAACAGGTGGATGTTTCAATAATGTTCTAATATCAAGTAGATGAATGTTTTAGTTTTTATATTTTAATCGATCTAAAATACAAATCACAAAAAATGTAATTTATTTGATTTTTTAATCAAAGATAAATTAAATATAAATTTTTAAACTAAAATTTGATTTAAGTTTAACAAAAATCAATATCAATAATAACGATTCGATTGAATCATCATTGATAAAATCAATCTCATTCTATGAAAAGGAAGTGGTGCTTTTTCCATGGGCTATGCCCCCCCCCCCTCCGCTAGATTTTTTTTCTTTTAAATATTTTTTGATTGGGACTCATGTGAGGATATTAGATCAATCAATCAAACCTTGGACATTTCTAGTTTTGGTGAAAAAATTAATGCTCAAAAGTTAGGATCATTTTAAAAAATTACTGACCCTGCTCTTATAGTATTATTAATATCTCTTCTATAGTTGCACTAATAGTCACCAAAATTTTACTGCATATATAGCTGATGTCTCGCTACAAAATAAGATTAAGATCGTCTTAATTAATTACTTTACTCATGAAGACCAGCTAACGCAAAAAATTGTGGGTGTGGGTGTGTGGGTGTGGGGTGTGGGTGTTGGGTGTGGGTGTTGGGTGTGGGTGTGGGTATTTCCATCATTCACACCCACACTCACACCCCACACCCACACCCCACACCCCACACCCATCCACACCCACCCACACCCCACCCACACTCACACCCGCACCCAGACCCACGCAATTCGTTTGAGCTTATCGTGTTTATCATTCAGTCAGCTATTGAAAAGATTTTGTTTTCTATTTACACTCTTCATTCTTGCCGATTGACATCTTTTATTCTTTAACTCTTTCACTCGAGCAAACACATCCTTTCAGTCTGCTCAATATTGCATAGTGTAAGTATGTCTGTTTCAATATGTCTCGAAAAAAAAACCAATAGGTACCCAGTTCTGATCAATGTTTTCTTTCAGATTGCATGCAACATATCGGAATCATGCAAGCTTTTAAAAGTACGTGTCAACGGTTACTGTTTTCATTTGTCTAATGCATCCAATAAGTCGTTAAGAGAAACGCGAAATTTGGTTTTCAAGGGATTGACGTCTCCTAATGCACCGCTTTCAAACATTTATTGCTGGAATCCACGCAATGATGCAAATAAACACGATCAAGATTCATTCTAATGCCTATTTTTGACTAAGGCAAATAAATACGCTAGAAAGAACTTTTATGTCTATAAAAGCAGCAACTATTTTTATTAAATGACAGTTCTTCGATCATTATGATGCAACAATTTCTGATTCAGATAGTGACAGCACTGTAAGTAATTCTGCCACGATAAATCAGTGATGGAGTATAATTTTATTTTTAGATATGCTGTCTACATTGTAACAGGTATGAGAAACTGATTTTTTTCAACCATTTAGACAGAAGTCCAATATGAGCTCATAAAGTTTATATTTATTTTTTCTTGGTTCCTGCAAATATTCATCTTCAAAAATGTTTGGTAATTTAATCTGTGATTTTTTTGATGAACTTCGTTACAGGTCAAGACACAGTCGATACACCATCTCCTAATTGTGGATGCTGTCCATCGCCGTACTGTCAAACAAAAAAAGTGCCGTGTTCAACAAATTTCGATTGCGAATGTTTGCTGATGACAATGACTGGAGGAGGAATGTGTGCCGATACAGTTATGTCATGTAAAGATTTGGTTTCATGTGAAAATGATAATAAGACATGTTCAGTACCCAATACTGTATGTGTGAATAACACTCGATGCAACATTCCTGTTTGTTATCCGATAGACCGTGCTTCTTTCCAACGGTGTCCATCTCTCGCCCTGAGAACTTTAACCAATACGACTGGTAAGTTTTTTTAACTGCGATGCTAACGAATATTACAGAATTAGTATATAGCTATGCAATCTTTGCCATATTTTTGCAAGGTTGTTTTTTATATTGTGTCCACTTCTGCGGTAAAGCTATAGGAATGACTTGGATCTTATGGAAACATGTAACTCTGTCAAGGAGTGCGATGATAAAGTTTTTATTCCAAATTGATTTAGTCCTAAAAAGTCAGAAAGATGTGTGTTTATGCTTTTCTAATATAGATTTTCGATTCTTACTACACTTTATCTTCAATCCTACCGTTGCCAATATAAAAAAGAAAGCACATGGATATTTTTAAACGGCTTTGAGAATACTAAGAATTGTCAAGAAAAGTCTCGTTGTGGCACGTCAAGTTAGTCTAATAATTAATCATCCATCACAATAAAATCAATTTATTTTACTTGTTATTTCAAAATGACACAAACTCTAGACAGCTCAGCTTTCCATCATCGTATAGAGAATATCATATAGTCAAGATGTTTGTTTTACGAGTCTTTTATCTTGTTTTCTTTTCTCTTCATACGAAAAACATTGAAAATATGTCTTTTTCCTTGAGGAAAAAATTATTTGTACAGTTTTAAAAGAAAAAAAAACTTCATTCTCTAACCATCATTGGCACCAGCGAGATGCTATTAGTTAGTTTATGAGATAGTCTTGAAATGAGTACTTCCGAGTGGAAAAGTTCAATTTTGCGATGAAAAAACATTCGGCAGATTCGATATGTTTTCCTCTAGTATTTTGATTTCCCCAGCGATAGAAACCTTTTGGATCACAATGAAGGAAGGTGTCTGAATGGCCTACGTCGTACCAATCAGCATACATTATCACATGTATTTTGGATGCCAATTTGATGAAAATAAACTAATTAAAAATTAAAAAAACGATGGACGACACGTCGGTTTCCTTTAGTGTACATCAGAATATTGACATCAGAGAAATTATTTTGCATGACTAATTCACATGGGTCGTGAAAACAGATAGATATATCAAAGTGTATCGGAAAATACTCAAGAGACAAAATCCGAATTCATTCATATCAAGTCATCCTTGTTCGAACAAAATTATAGCTCAACTATCAGGCACACCCTATGTGCATGAAACAAAAGAAATTGCGTCATCCCGAAGCATTGAATGGTGTGTGGATGCAGAAGCATATGCGAGTATTCTATTTACCTATCCTGAATCAGTCACGTTAGCTACTGATTGTTGACAAACGATTCGAAACCTGGTGTCCACACACTTAAGAATGGTGCCCGTGCCTAGGAAAAGATCTTCTACTTGTACGTGCGCTTTCACGAAAATACATGTAATGAAGTTGACCGTTGCCCACTGGTAACATTGCATTGGCACCTATAGGACATCTTAAGACAACGACCAAAGATCAGCAAAAAGTTTCATACCCGCTGCAGAAAACGAAAATTCTTTTCTGTGATTCCGAGAGAACGAAAGAAAACTTGTTCAGTTCTCTTCTGTTAAATGTTCTTCTTTTCATAAGGCGTGATGTTAGAAGAACATAAACTTTTTTATTTTACATAACAACTGACTAGGTATAACAACACATAAGTATATATATCATCAGAGAGAAGAGGAAGAAGAAAAGAAAAGATATGTGTGGACGTGGAACGGAGAGAGTGGACAGTGAAGAATAAATGGCATGATCGACTTTATAGATGTCAGATCATAACACCCTTTCCGGCCAAGAAAAAAGTTTTTTGTTTACAAAAACACTTTTTTGAAAGACAAGTTAGAGAAAAAAAATGAGAGAAGAACAAGAAACAACATGTTTTAAAAAAAATCTTCTGACATGATAACAAAAATGACAAGAGAAAAAAAGAAAAAAAATAACAACAAGAAACTGTTCGAAAAACCAAAAGAAAAGGAAAGATACATATATATCATAGAGAAAAAAAGGGGGGCAAAATGTATTTACTATTATAGTTCTTTTTTTTCTTTTATGATCGATGTTGAGTAGATCGACGATATAAATGATAATGATGTCGATCAACAAATAATAGTAAATATCATTAAAATATACGAGTTAAGAATAAAATAAAATAAAAATAAAAAAATGACATAATTTGTTCGAGACAGGAACACTCCTAAGCGAGAGGTTCCCTAATATATATATTTGTTTAATGTTTATGTTTGTAACGTTCCTTATTTGATCATGTAATCTGTAAGGAGATGATGGTATATTGATAATTAATGCGCGCAAATTAAAATATCAATATCTCCACATACATAATGAATTAATGTTGTTCCAAGTAAGTCGTTGCGCATACGTCAAACATGGTCGAACATCAAATCATCGTAAACATGACAAAATATATACATTAGCATTAAATGATCATTAACAAATAAATAAACAAAAATGCTTCACGTTGATTTTGGAATAGGTATAGGTCGAATATCATTAACATGTTGGTGAATAACTATTTGAGTTGTTTCATCTTATACCCCTGAGTAAGATGTTCTTTTCTGATAATTAATGGTGAATTTGTTGACATGGTAAATAATACTTAATATATTCAACATTTCATCGTCAGTTAATAATTTAATTGATTTCAATTTTTGTTGTTCATATTCACGTACTGCCTCCCAATTCGTTTGTGATGATTGAATACAATTAATAATTTGCTTTTTATGATCATCATCTTTCATTTGTTGACAAGAGGGGTCGGACTGTTGTTCGGAGACAGGAGTTGCATGTAAATCCAAAATAATTACAATAAATAATAACTAACGTCAATTTGTACTTAATAACCGCTGTCACCACTGTTAAATGTTCTTCTTTTCATAAGGCGTGATGTTAGAAGAACATAAACTTTTTTATTTTACATAACAACTGACTAGGTATAACAACACATAAGTATATATATCATCAGAGAGAAGAGGAAGAAGAAAAGAAAAGAAATGTGTGGACGTGGAACGGAGAGAGTGGACAGTGAAGAATAAATGGCATGATCGACTTTATAGATGTCAGATCATAACATCTTCAATATGAAGAAAAAGCTTTCCCCTTCACTCTCAAATTTAATGAGCTACTAGCGTACATGACTCTCTACGGTTGAGAGTAGCTGGGTACGGGCGAAGATAATATCTGTGTGTAGTCACATCCTCAAGTAGTTATTCTTGCGTCTTGGCTGGGATACTGTCCATTATGCAGTAGTTCAATTTCAGGCAAAATCACTTTATCGAAGTGAAAAAGCGTCCACTGTAGGGAGACACACATTTTTAGGAAGATGTCCATTATACAAAAATATCCACTAGACAGATGTTCACTTCTAGCCTGAGTCGTTCCGTCGGACCAGAAAATGTCCACTATACAGAGGTGTTCACGGCGAAAGATTTTACTGAATAAACGATGGCACTATTTTATTGTTTTCTTCCTTATATGAAGCTCCGAGAACCGTGGAAACAACGTCATTCACAACACCAATAGCCACCATGTCATCGACACCGAGATTATCAACAACAACGACAACCTATACGGCTCTTAGTAATTAATAGAATGAAAGACTCATCTCCATTTTTTGAAACGCGATCGAAAATAAGTGTTGATGTATATAGCGAGAAAAATGAACCTCCGTTCCCTTCGTGTGTCCATCTGATTCTAGCAGGAGTGGGTATGTGGATGTGGGTGTGGGTGTACGCATCAATGTTCTTTATAAGACGCCCACACTCACACTCACACTCACACTCACACTCACACTCACACTCACACTCACACTCACACTCACACTCACACTCACACCCTCACACCCTCACACCCACGCTCAGCCACACCCACAGCCATACCCACACCCACATTCACACCCCCGCACACCACACCCCCACCCCCACCCCCATATCCACACTCACACCCCCACACACCACACCCCCACCCCCACACCCATACCCACACTCACACTCACACCAACATCCACACTCACACCTCCACACGCTACACCCCACCCCCACCCCCACCCTCACACCCCACCCTATCGGAAACCTTCGATCGAAATAAATAGATTCATAATTTTAACCCTTGCTTGAAAACTTGTTCGTTAACATTCTATATAGCGACAACGGCAACAAGCTTCAGCCTGAATGCACTCCAACTACTGTCAACCTCTCTGCAAAATGTCTCTTCTTATCCAAGTGGTTCCTACACAGCAGCTATCTCTTCGTTCAATCGTACGATGAATATCAGTTCAAATAACACCTCTCTGCTTCCACTTGATCAAAGCATGCTTGTTTCGCTCAGTAATATCGACAATTCGTCGTTTATTTTTGAAGCTGGCCGTCAACAAAATTTATATTTTCGTGTCTCGAGTAGCTTTAGTAATCAGATCCTCTCCTCACCCTTATCACTTGGCGTAGGCATACAATTTGGAAGCAATGTTAACCCTCTGGTTATCGTACCATTCAGCACACTAAACTTCGGTATTACTCTTCTCTCAAATTCTTTACCCGATGGTTCTAGAGTGTTTGCCTTGGTAATCACTATACCGTCATCCATTTGCTCTCGAATTGCTGATTCATGCACCGGTCTCACTTACAGTACGTATCTATTGTTGAATAGCAGTACACTTTCAGCGCCGATTTCCTATCAAATCAACGTTGCCTGTGGTGACGTATGCAGTTTATCCAGTGCCAACGGTTCTTCTTGTTCTGCTTCTTGTGGTGCAACATGCGATGGACAACAGGT